CATTCCTGTCTATAGCAATTAAATCATATTAGTTAAATCATATGAAATAAACTTCATTTGTTGTATTTCAAAAGCCATTTATTTTTTTTAAGCCAAAAACTTCATAAATCCAAAAATATAAAATAAATTCAAATTGTCGTTAGTTGATGACAATCGACTGGATGCAATGTTACTTAGTGTATACTGAAATAGATCGATAGGGTGGGTTCATTTTGTGTATCGATGAACTCAGATGTTTTTGAAAAAGCCTCAGGCAGTTTGAGGGTAGTATTATTGCCTACAAAAAATTTCTAGCATTTGTTACAAACATTGAAACGAAGTTTGAACTCCTGGAATAGTCCAATTTGTTAGGAAGTAATTTAAATTTACTATTCTCAAAACAACTTATATTTTGCTAAAACCGAAGGTACTTTTTGTTGAAGAAATGTTTATTTTGTTTCAGATTTTTGCAAAAAAAAATCGAATCAAACGTTTGTTAGCTGAGACCATCCTCTTGGCCAAGAGCTTTCATCATTCAGATCATTTGGATATGGTAATTGATGTGGTGCACGATCACCGTGTCGCCAGATAGCTTGTACATAAATAAGGCTTTCTTCTACCTTTACATCCGTTCTCAATATGAATCCATTACTGAACGTACAATTAAATAGAGAAAAATGCAGTAGAAGAAATAAATGAAGTAAGGTTAACATAAAATATCTGAAAATATTAAGAATTATTGACATTTCATGAATATATTCAACTCGAAAAAAGTAAAATTCGATTTACAGTAGTGAAGGAAAGGAATGGAAAAATAGTAATGTAAAAATTGCTTTTCTAATTCTCTCCTAATAGCAAAATATTTTTATTTACTTTCAATAGCCCTACTTTTTTTAATTTCTTTTTACCTACCGAAATTGTTATATTTATCCTGATAAAGACAAAATTTTGATGTGAATTTGGTATGCGACACATAACTTTGTGCTTTGATACCTATTCAACAATAACCAGTAAATTATGAATTCTTATATTGTCGATCATATGACCTTGTGATATGGTCTTTAATCTTTGCGCCAATTTTTGAATGGGAGGGCACAAACTCTGGCAAATTCGAATTTTTTTTTTTTTTTGATTTGGATGCTACAAAATGGTAGATGATAAATAGCAATCGGTGAATGAAAATCAAGAATTACCGTTAAATACTAATCTGAAATATCTTTACAACGAAATAGGCCGTTGTCAGCAACGTTGTCAACTGCTATTTTATATATTATCATCGTTATTTTAACCAAAGATTAGTTTATAACCTAGTAAAAATGAGTATTCTAACAAAAATTATTAAATCATTTCAAAACGCAATTTTCGACAAACAACTCCTTTAATTTCTTTTCTTCCTCAACTGATTAGATATTTTGCTTATCAAATTTTGATTGGGAAAATTCGGGACTTCCTTATGATAAATGCTCACATTCCAAATAAGGAAAGCTTTCAATTGTCAATTATATCCTTTTATTTTTTAATATATCAAATATATTCTTTTATTTACTTAGTGTATACTGAAATGGATCGATATAATTGACATGAATTTTTTTTAGTAGCTTCGAGAAAAATCTGTCAAGCATACGTATATTATGAAATATTAATGGCCAAAAAGTGTCAACCAAACTTTTGCACATTGTATTTCATATTTGTGACCAATTCGATTCCATAAAATCACTACTTGACATATACATATCCATTATATCATTAATTAATTATACATGCATGTTCTATATCTCATAATGTCATGTGTTTTCTGACCAATTCGATTCCATAAATCACTACTTGATATATTCATATCCATTATATCATTAATTAATTATACATGCATGTTCCATATTTCATAATGTCATGTGTTTTCTTTTAGCGTAGTACCGGAATCATTCTTTGATCGCATCATGATAACCTGATCCTGTTTAGGAGGCATGATAAAATGAGCATTCTCTCCGATATAATTATGGATTTTCGGATAACAAAATGTTATCATTCATTAGAATACTATTTTCCAATTCAAATTCTACAACAGATTGTTTACTTTACTGCCTTTTCATTAACAACTCAGTTAACATTTATACATTTTGCTTCTGTTACCTTCACGTACGTCATGTCGATCTGATTTGTAATATGTCAACCTTTTCACCATTTCATAGTTGGTGAACCGTAAAAATATTAACTGGAAGATAAGTGACATGAATGAATTCAACTAACTTAGATTACAATGACACTATTAGATCTTTATTTAATTTTTCACAGAGCAATATTAATTAAGTGATTTAAATCTATTTAATCAACTTGGATTTAAATTTATGTTAGATCTGAAGGTTCACGAAGTGCAAAAAACATCGCAAATCAATTCCGTATTGCAGTTGCAGAAATGCAGCAACAATTTCGCGTTATCCATAACTTGTATTCTAAATTAGTTGAATCGTTGGCGTATTCGGCAAGAGCATCAATCACTGCATTAGCATACAGAGAAGCAATCTTTCGTTTTAGGAAAGCCTGGATAGTATAACATTCAAATTAAAAACCAATGCTTAATAAAGTTTTAGCATGCTGTCAATTTAAGTTTGAAAGATTTGGCGAGGAATATATAAATAAAGCTGCTAGTAGTTTGATAATTAAAAATAAATCTGTTTTTTTTTGATTTCATTTCTGGCTTAATAATTTTTTTTTCAAAAGCATAAAGGATTGCAGAGACATTTCATTTCAAGTAAATTTAGGAATGATATCAGTGAGCAATGCCAAAACCTTTTAACTCATCCGGAAAGTTTCAAATTCGAACTTAAGCAAACTCATAGGAATCATTGGAATTGGTGCTTTCGTAATTTTTTTCACCGCTTTTGGTGCGGTTGTTGATGGAAAATTTATGGAATAATTCCGGATGAAATTAAATGGAATTGAAGGCTTTTTAAAGTTTTCAATTATTTTCATCATAAACTTTTGCTTGCACGTAATTTGTGCTTAAAAGAAATTGAATTTTCCAAAGTGCTAAGAAATGAAAACTGTGAAAGTTAATGAATTCAAATGAAAAACTAAAAAAATTTGACCTAACGCAAAATTTTTTTTTTAAACAACAAATTTTTTCCAGAATTTATGAGAAAAAATGCAAATTTTTACGGCAAATAGTCAATTATTTAAGAAAATTTAAAAATCGCTGCCAGTCTATTCAGATGTTATCATAAATTTTACATTCTTCTTTGAAATTGAATCTCCTTGAAATAATTACTAAACAGGAAATAAAACTGTAAGTGAAAGTAATCAAAAGTGGAAAATTAGCGCTGAATAATCTATTCGAAAAGTATTGATTATCATCATTAGGAGAATCACTACGCTTCTTTTTAAGGTATTCCAGACTTACGCGTATTTTTCTCGTATTCAATGATTGAGGCAAATCAACCAATGATGTCCTTCGTTGTTGACCACAAAAATCGCTTATGTTTGTTATGGACGGTTGGACATATAAATGGACTATTCATGCATCATGTTTTCAGGGCATAGATCCAACAGTGCTAGTAAGTAATGATGCAACATTAATCGATCGACCTCCGTGAATCCTGTCACTCTTCAGGAATGATACTTCAGTTACTTTGTTTTGGTTTAAAGGATAGAATTATTGGCTGATGATGTCTAGAACATGGTGCATTTCAAACGATTCAGATAGCACTGTCTGTTCCAGTGATAATTGTCAAGCAATGATCAAAATGATGTATGGTTGTTACGAAAAAATTAAGTGAATTGATAATTTCTAGACATTTATGCATACCTCTAGTGAATTTTCCTCGTTTTTCTTTGTTGTGATATGTTATGTCTAAAATAGAACATGATTTCTTGGATATCAAATGGGGATAAGTGACCGTGTGATAATATCAGGTATGAATATAAGTGACCGTGTGATAATATCAGGTATGAATATAAGTGACCGTGTGATAATATCAGGTATGAATATGAGTATAAGTGACCGTGCGATAAT